TAAAAACTAATTCCGACACAACTCAGAATTAGACACACACAGCTCCTTCTGAGCTGTGTCATATTCCAACACAGCTCACACAGGGTGTCGGAATTCCAAGACAGGGTGTCGGAATTACAAGTTACGATTTCGAAGTACTGTCAGAATTAGTCTCACAATATGCCAAATATAGTCACATTCACATACAGTGTTGGAATTTAGCAATTTTGTAGATTTGAATTCTAAAGGCTTTTAAATAAATATGGCAACAGTTTGTGATGTTTCATCATTGCTGGCACGTGGCACGTAGTGTAGTGTTTTGAGAGCGACATAAAGCAATCAGAACTTGAGTTGTGCATACGGTGCTCTTTATATTTATAGCCATTTATTTCATGCTATGTCCTTAAGGTGTCGGAATATGGTGTGTTTACCCTAGCTATACTTTTTTCTGAAAGTGAAGGCTACCTATAATAATCCATCCCTACTGTGAATACTAAATAGTCTAAATGCTTTGTGCATTTACAAAGTTAACTTATAACTACAAATCTACAATACATAGTCTAAAATAAAGGTCACCTAGAGTTGGTGCGTACTAGTTCAAACTTTGGAGCCAACACCCAGAGTGGCCCAGGCCCAGCCATCACTAAAACCAAAACAACTTGCATATACCTATTGAACTTATTTCAGAAGTCCCCTAGCAAAGTTACACAAGAGCTTCAAGACTTCAACCATGAACAATTATCAAATCGGCCCAATACTAGCGATCGTCTTTTCTCTTCATTCAAAACAATGGAGAACATGAATAATGACACATTATGTGATTATCTTATATCTACAAAACTAACCTCAACTGTTTGTTTTATTTTAAAAGATTTCCCAACGAAGCACAAAAAGATTTTTAAAATGACTTACCCATAATTCTGTACCCCAACTTCTCATCATTGAATTGATGATGGTAATCCCAATAGCATCCAAAAATTAAAAACACGAATGCTAAACAAAACACAGATAAAACTCGGTCACGACTCACGGGCACTTCATTCCACACTCCACAACTACCAAAGCCACACTAACTCGAAGTCTCGACTCTCGAACGCAATAGCTATTCAAGCTGCCGAAATTCATGTTCAGCTTACGTTAGTCACTCCTAAAAAGATAAAGAAAAATAATTTATTTTCATTTGTTTCCCATATCTCGAATATTATAGATTTCATATCTTCAAGGCTTACCCAGAAAGGGTATATTTAATGGCATTAAAATTTTGTGTGGAATTTATTAAATGGCAAAAGTATAGTATATCTGTATATGACTTGCAGTCTTACACTATATACATTTTTGTTATTGATCATCCATCTCAAAACTAAATCTAATGTTTCACTACTCTTTTAAATACTTGGAAACTTTATTCGGCAGGAGCGGCTCACTTTCTGTGTGCCTACAGCCAGCGAAGCGGACGCTAAACTTATACTCTCCACTTTTGATATGCTGCTGCTGTATAATCACGTACAGGGGGGTTTGAGGACAAAGTTTTCACTCGAGCCGTTTTTCCCAGGAGCTCAACCGTTAGAATCTCATGAAAATTGGCACAGAGACGTACGCATATTTTTTCTACCAAACCTTCTTGTCGGATTTCCGAAATTCCCACTCCTTCCCCCCCAAAATCCCCAAAAACCCCTAAAATATTAGCGAAAAATGACCTCAAAACGTAAGTTACGTAACCCCCATGTTAGTAAGTCGCGAAAAAAATCGGTTTTCCGATGCCGACCGCCAAAAATGGATTTCAGATTCGTAATCTACACCCCAAAAAACATATAATTAAAAAAAAACACCCTTTTTTTTGGATGTAGTTAATCTGCAATAATACCAAATCGTCTTTCGTGTTGCAAGAAGCATTAGACATTAGTTATCCGTTAATTAATCTGACCATATGCACTAGAATGAGGGAGGAGAATTCCTACATTTATCTACCCATAGGTAGTATCTCTTTGCTCCTGCTTTAATTTTTGCACCTAGAAAAGACTTGCATACAAGGCAGCGTATTAAATGCTCATAACATACTCCGTATATCTGACTGAAGTCTAATTAAAGCAGTGAATAGTTAGTCCTAAAATATCCGTGAAAAAATACTGAGCTCCATCACTGTATTAACACAAAAACATTTTATAGCGTTTTCTTTTCTCACCCACCAATTGATTCTGAATACGTTAAAACCCAAAGCATTGGACTTTAACCAATGGCAAACTTTCTCGCTCTGTCGTAGTTAGTTAGAACGTAGTTCATAGTAGTTCATGACGAGCACAATAGCGCATTTTTTCCATTATTGAGAAAATGCGCTAAAAATGTGGCAAGTTCGTTGTATCAAAACTTTCGATGCTTTAAAAGAGTTTATGAAAATAAATTAATTATAGATTAAAAATTATTGCCCGACAAAAATTTCCTCCAATCATTCCGTACTCGTCAAAAAATTATAATCAAAGCCAACTTGCCAGAAATTTTCCACTCCAAATTGTTTCTTTGCGCAGATGATTAATTAGGCTCTGTTGAAGGTTAAAACTTGAAGCAAGCGCAGTCCAATCCCCGGAAAGAAATTTCATGCACAACATGCACGATTTCCTACCACCTGGCAAGAGAAACCGGAGCAATATTGTCAAACATGCCTACCAAAATAGGATACGCTGCTTGTGCAGAGCGCAAATGGACTTGCACTGATGGTTGCCGCCACGTGCAACTTTAAAATATTCTGTGTTGCGTACCAACGTCCTCAGGTTGCTACAGTAAATAGTTTGCGTTAACTTGAAAGTTATGTTCTCGGAGAGTGACATACGGCGGTAGAGGGTTAAAAAACGAAGTCAGCAGAACTGGGATCTCAAGACCATGATCTCATTACCTACTGAGATGTATTGTTTCATAACACATTCAAAGCCATTTTTGCTTGACATGAGCAGTGATGTTAAACGCACTTATAACTCTCGTAATTCCGTCCTCTCAATAATCGAAAGCCAGAAATAATGACTAGGTTTCTTTCATGTGCATCAGAATCACTCAAAAGTAAATGGTCCAGTGCAAGGTTCACGTTCAACCACGAAACTTGGTTGAGGGACACTTTTCAATTGCTCAGCAAGATAGGTTGTGTAAGACGGAACTGCAAATACAGGAAGCCAAACTTGTTTATATTTTAGTTGAATAAATTTTCCCCGTTTTTGCACATTTAGAGTCGACTTCAATTTAATATGTTCTATTGAATTGAAATGATTGTGGCTATTAACCTTAACTAAAAAGATTTCACATTAAGTAAAATGGAAGTATGGAACTGAATTAGGAAAGCCAATTATCCAATAGATTAATTGTGGACTTCTTCACCATCGGATTTCACAGGATTGCTGCAGTAATAGTTATGTGATTGAAACTTGAAATTCGTTTTTCGAAATCTTGCACGATATTGATTTATCTGCAATGGTCTACACGATATTGTTTGCTAATTAAACGGCGGTTCTTGGCTTTGTGACAAAGAATGAATTTTTCACTATCAGAATTTTGTCTTCGCAGTTAAAAACGAAAACGGCTTGATAATGCGGTGTCCTAATTAACTACTGTCTTATGATTGACAGTTTTTAGAACTGCTCATCTATATTATCAGATACGAGGCGATCGTTTTGTCTATGTTGATTTCTAAATTTATAATCGAAGAAAAAGCAAAGTACGTCCTCATGTGAGTGAAGACACAGGACGAGAATAGCAAGTGCATAGAAAGCATGAGTTGACAAGACACGCTTTAACCGCTCATTAGCAGCAGCAGAAGAGATAACTTGGGATGGGAGTAGGAAGGAAAAGAAAAAGTAGAGGTAAGGGAACAGGTTTCTTCTTTTTCGTTATGAACAAAAATCCCAATACGTAGAAAGGATTACAAAGCGAGTAGTGCTTCGACAGTACAAACGTTAAATTATGGCGCAGGTTGAGGATCATGCATGTGATCTAAACGCTGAGCATAATCGGCCAATTTACATCTACTATGACGTGAAGACTAAAGTGCTAGGCTTTGCAAAGCACAAGAAATAATTTATGACTGATTAATTTGCTTAGTCTGCTAGCAGGTGACGTGATCACCAACTGACAGACCGTTTGCACAGGTATTTGAGGCACTCATTTGATAGCTAACAGAGGCTTCTACGCTGGGTTGACATCCGAGGATAGAAGGGCAGAATACACGCGGTAGTGAAAACGGATTAAATATCGTCGCAGCTGAAGGGTAGATACTAACACACAAAAGTGAAACTCACTCAACTATTAAGAAAAAGTCGAGAGAAACTTATGAAATAGAATAGGTGACCTGAAAAGCAACTAGGAAATAGTCAAAACTACAGCATTAACACTAAGAACAGAAAAAAGCAACACACGGCGTAACATTAGTGGTTACAAAGAGGAATTTTATTAGGATAACGCAAGAAACATGGACATAAAGCCGTAATTTGTAGAAACGACCAGTGAAATTCTCATTAATATAGTAGGAACATACACGGAATAGTAAGAATTGGATATAAGAGCATAACACCGCAATTAAGCAGAGAGAAGAGAAGAGGCGAGAGATAGTTCAAGACTGGTAAATTTCAGGATATAATAGATGCGTAGCAATTGTCTACACGAAAACATACTGCAGAAAACACGCACTTCAGAGGAGGCCAGTAAATAGAAACATTATGTCAGTTATCATATAGGTATAAATATTATGACATTTGGAGGAAAAGGCGTCCAAGAAATGAGAGACTATAGCAGGTTAAAAACAATACATAAATACAGAGATTGAAGGTGGCAGTAGGTCAGCATTATTTAGCGATGCACAATTGAAAGAAGGTGAAACTGGATACGAGACGTGCCCTAGGCTTAGAACTGTACGTATTTCCTAGACTCAGCTAGAACTGCGAACTAATCGCACAGCGAGACGCATCACCGCTCTTATTTAGGCGGAATGATGCGAACGTTAATGTTGGATTTCCGGTTCTGTGGGTTGGAGTGAGAAGCACATGCTATCGAAATACATATTTATTACAAAGTGATAATCTTAAAACACCTTAGTATCTCTGCTACCTACGGGAGGAGGTGCGCAATCAGATCCTCTTCTGACGCTTCAAACACTCTGTCATTGGCTACTTGGCTGATACGTGGACAATAGTTACAAGGTTAAGACAACTTTATTCACCGTTAATATTGCAAAAAATTTGTTTAAGCATTATTCACTGTGTTAAATTTATTCGAAGAAGATTGTTTCAAAGACTTCAGACTTAAAAAAATTGATTTGCTTCGCTTTGGTGTGTAGCAAACGTTTAATTTTTTGTTATAAATTTTCCAGAATTTCAAAGAACGTACGAACCAGAGCCAATGGAAGTGTTTCAACGCGCCCTGATCACGTTCGGCCAAAAAGAAGAGACGACAAGGACATCTCGAGATGAAACTTTTAATATTGAGAGAAACATTAACATCTCTTCACACTCACAGTAAAAACAACTATTATCATTAAAAAAACATGATCGACAATGAGGCTAATCTTACATGATAGTTCTAAAGAGCACAATGATGAAGGTTGCTATAAGAAATCAGACTCTACTATAAATAGCCTAATTGATGAATATCCGTAGAGATCAATTTACGAGGAAAGAAGCAAAATCAGCGGCAGGTGGAGATGGCATTGAACTTTGGATGGACTTGCGAGAGCTGAGCGATCAATAACATCATAATTTTGTTCCTTCAGCGTCGAGGAACTTCTCAAACATCAACAAGAATTAATACATCATTATCATAGATTAAATTTCGGCATGTATAGTCAGAAATTAAACGAAATTAGCCTCCTCTTAATAAAGGAGATTGTCCAAAGAGGAATACAACTTGCGAACATACGTTCTGAAAACTTTAGTTGACTCCTCCAAATATTTCAACAATTTCTTAGTGTCAGAGACAAGAATAAACAGTCGAGTTCTAATCAGGAGAGGGACAAGGATACAGTATTCTTAGTCGAATTAGAGATCAAAAACTTGATTTATAGAGTGAACATGAACTAGAACAACAGATCAGCCGGGGGCGAGGGAGAGGTGCATGAACGTTAGTCAAGTCTCAGTGCAAGGAATCTAAAGCTGCCTAGTTGCATCATAGAAAACTGACAAAAGCAAATGTGGATATGAGTTTGATCATATGACTACAGCCATCACTGAAATTAATTACAATAATAACATTAGTGTTATCGAACATTACATTCATAAATACGGAACTTACAGAGAATGTGATAGTAATTTAAATAATTATTCACAAATCAAATGTATGGCCAGTATTACCCTTATAACTGAAAACCTGGAAAATAAACAATGCTAACAAAGCCAAAGTTTAGAGACAACTCCTACATAAGTATAGCTTACGATTAGAGCGGTTAACGTTGAAGCAGACAGTATGAACTACAGACAGAACAATACCACAGAACAGGAGCTACAGGGCCAAAGTGGCTCTTTCAAGAATAGCAGGATGAGGCACAAGTCTCAGGCCTACCAAAAATCGAGTGTTTCCATAAGTCAAGTAACCCTTTCCTTGTTCAGCAATTGAATGGTGTCGACGATTATTGCGACACGCGCTACCTGCTGGAGGAGGAAGGGGTGATGATTGTCCATAGGATATAAGAGGGATATCTAAGATTCAACCTCAATTTACCCTTTTTAAAGAGATCGAACCTCTAACTATAGATACTGAATGAAAATCGGCCTCGCCTACTCAAACTGTATCAGTTCAAAGCACATGCTTTATTTTAACCACAGCAATAAATCACATTTCCTGAGCCTTTGGTGGGTATGACGGCCGCCATGACTGCAGAATGGCGCTACTCGTAAAGTATTCTAAACACTGTTGGTTTGCGCGTCGGATAGCAGACACCTTAGGTTTAGACAAGCAACTTCAACGTTGTTGTGAAGCACTTAAGCAGCCATCATAGCTGAACAGTTGTGATGTCGCTTGGTTCAAACAGTGCAATGCAAACAATGACGTTTGAGGTCAATTTTTGCTTATCTGTGCAATTGGGAGTCGAGAGAGGCCGATGGAAGAAGAGTGAGAGAAACGAGGCCTCAAGAGAGCCTGAGAAAACCCGTCGGATGACAGATTGACAGCGAGGTAAGAATAAGATATAGAAGAAAATTTGGAAGGAAGTTGAGGAGTAAATACGTGCTTGGTTGTCATCTGTTCAATGATTCACCAGATTCTTGGAAAGATTTGAAGATTTCGTGCCTTCGGACAGGAAGAGAGGAGTACGATGAGAAGCAGAAGTGAAGTCACGCTGAGAATGTGAATCAAGAAGAGAAATAGAAGGTTCAGCGGGTTGATAGAAGAAACGACCAGAAAGAGAAGTCGGAGGAAAATACGCCGTAGATATTAATTACAGTACGTATAGATACAACAGTAACCTTAGTGGGAGTGAGAATAGGAATTTTATCTAGTGATACAGTAAGAATACCCAGTAAGCAAAAAGTAGTCTCTGACACTGACCAGTTCGAAAGTGGCCATTAATTTCACCAGAGCGACCCAGACGAGCTTGTCAGTACTAGTCACCGCGTCGCAGCTGAAGTTGGGTTACACCAAAAAACGGATTCACATGAATAGTCACCGATAGTCAATTCAAGACCAAACTTGTTGATAGCGTGGAAACTCAGAATGATGAAAAACAGTCGATAATTTGCAACGTCCCATGAGTGAATGTATAACCTTAAAGTGTATTCCGGAATGAGACGCGGTGCCTGGAATGACAAGCTGCAGACCTGTTCTCACTACAAGCATCGTCCTTCACGTCGAATCGAAGAATCACAAGTGACGGTCGGACCGAATTCTCTCTATATATTCTCATCGCACGCCTCTATATGAAATATAGCAAGTACTCGAGGAACGTATCAAAGAACTACACGAGAAGATGTGTGGAAAAGGCAGTTGGCAACTGCACCGAGGAAGTTGGACCTTAATAACTTGAAAAAAGTATTAAATGTAAACAATAAATTAAAAGAAGATTGAGAGTTTTCCAAGTGTTCAATGTAATGTGTACTGAATCTGAGTTTCCCTCAGAACGGATGTGCCAAGTAGAGAATATCACATAGGAAGGCACAATAGTTTTACAAAAATATTCTCTCGAACTGATATGTGGAGACGCGTCTTGAAATTCCGCCCTGAATTGTGACATCGCCAAATAGGCATGTGACTCGATTTAAGCAAACACTATTGCCGAAATTACCCGGAGTAACGAATATTTGGTGTGGAGCCAAAGCCCGGGTAGCATGTGAGATGGTCTTAAGTTAGGCGTTGTTCATGAATGTTGTATGTTGCTGTGTCGCCCTCTCCGCGCTACAGGCCTATGATAGAAAATCCGATTGTCACGCCGCAAGTTTGATCGAGGGAGAGCACAGGCAAGAAAGAGAGTAAGAGATTTGAGATAAAAGGAGTAAAAACGAAAAACAAGAAATTATTTAAACTTAAAAAGGCGAATTATACTGAAGATTAGAAGTAATTTTAGCCAACTTCCTTGGCGCACTGATCAACTTTTGTGCTTCGCATTAGGTTTATTATTATTACAAAGTTATTATACTTTTTTGGCATAATTAACAAATAATACTTTGTATTTTATCGATAAAGCTCTAAATCAGTCTGCTAAGATCTACACACACAGAGAACAACAATTGTTAGTGGGTGCGCCTGAGCTTCACCTGTCACATCGCAAGCATTGTGATCTTCGTGACAGGCACACCAGCAACGAAATAAACCGGACCGACCATACACGGCCAGCTTTCTACTCTACGTTACCACTGACACTGTCAATGTTAACATTCTGTAGTGGTCAGAAATTCTCGGGTTAAGTCAAAGAAAAATATGCTAGGGCATTTCATACACGGTATGCTTTTTAAATTCGGGCATTCAGTTCACAGTGCTTCGAAATATAGAAATTGCGCGATTACCATGGGAAAATGGCATTCAAGCTACTCAATGCAATGCGGCTACTCAGTGCATGATATCAAACGAGTTATTGATCAAGAAACAAATAGAACTCTAGAAATTTCTAATGACATTTATGTTGCTCAAAAAGGAGATTCCCAGGAACATAGTGCGATGTTATTCGCACCGACTAATCTTCAATGTGAAAGCAAAAAAAGGCACCCTGATATAGTAGAGAAAAAAATACATAACCAGAACTGATTCGCGATATCATGTACTGAGTGATACAGTGAAAGAAATACTATATCGGGTACTCCGAGATAGAATTACGGGAAGCTGACAGAAAATTCAACGTTGTAAAGCCCTATCAGAATTATAATCTCGGTACGTATGTACCAACGAGTTTTATTCTACACAAGCTTTGACCCAGAACTTAATATCTGCCTATTTATACCTGAATAGGTTTTCCTAAGAGCCATCGCAACGCCCTCTAGTTATGCACGTGTCAAATACCTCTTCAGCATTAATATTTTTCAATTGTTCACACGCTGCACCAGTAATTAAATATCAAGCATGAGAGATTTACCTCCAAGTAATTGGAATGATTGGAACTGACGCCTCAACTGCTATTAGTAGCATGGCTTGAAAGCATCATCGAGACATAGCACCCAAATGCAAAAATATACGTATTCATCACACAGACAGGGCAATCAACTTGGTTGTTTCGACTACACAAAACCCGAACACAAATTGAAAATGCTTTATTTGAACCAGCGTTTAATGTAATATTAATTGGATAATGATAACAAGTCTCTTCTCTTCTCTCTGAGGCGGCTGGAACGACAAGTATCTGCTAAACGTCAATTAAAGAACTACTACTAACTTACAGCAGTGAAAAGAACACTCAAAACGCACACAACGAACGGGCATTTCAATTCTTTGTTATAAAGAACACGACAGGAGCACTGGCAAAAGCTCACTCTTCTCTTGATCGCACGTTAATGTGTGCCACCAACACATAAAGAATATTTCCATCTCAACAACGTAGGCTGGACGAACACTTTTATTCGCCCTGCCGAGAAGTATACACAGTTAGCCCAGTATATAAGAACTCTTTTAGAGTTAATTTCACTTTTAGAAATGAAGAACGAGCAAATAATAATTTAATTTCATATCTGTTAACAAAAACTGATAGCTAGCCACGTTATTGAATTAAAGCTGAAATCTTCCTGCTTTTAAAATATTACTAAATAGCGAGCACGAACTTCCTAAGTATGGAAGTTGGCAGGCCGTGCAATGAAGAGCAGAGGCAAATATTAGCCGATCCTTCACGTCAGCAGTCAAAATCCTCCGAAAACCGACGCCAAACTAACCGTAAGAAATAAGTCTAATGTGTTGCAGAGAGCGGCGTTCCTATCATAACACGTATCAACTATAATAATGTGTATTCTAGAAGATACTCAACTAACAATAATACTGCCATTCAGAACATCAGTCAATTGCGCACCTTCTGACAGCATCTTGCTACTAAGTGTTTTTAGTATACTGATACGTTTGATCGACATTCCGGCTCCGTTTTCGACTCGTAACTTCTTCAAATTATTTTCATAGAAAAATTCTCTTTACATTGAAACTCGACGCTCCTACACTCATCTTTTACTGGAGCATAAAAATTAATTATTTTGTTCCAAAATTGAATTTACTTCATTTTAATATGGTCCGAGAATTTTATAAAACACAACATCCTCGGTCGGAACCGATAACAAAAACGATTTTCGAGGCGATAAAAATTGATGATCATAGAATGATAAGGGTCGAGAATAACTTGACAGTTGGGGGATGGGCTGCTCTAATGGAAATATAATGAAATAGTGGGGCAAGTATAGTAATTGGTCGGCCCATCAACTTTGGAAAAGCACAGAAATTTGAAGCTATTTACATATAATCCAAAAGGACTCAGAGAAATAGTCTCGTATCAAAGTATTATTGTAAATTTCGAAGACTCCCTCTGTGAATTGAATGCTGATATGAGCAGAAACAGCACCGCAATTAATGATGATTATGCAATGGAACGGCAGTATGAATTCTCACAATATAGCAGGGAGGGAGATTCTGGCAAAAGAAAGATGAGTTGTATGGATGAAGTCTTCTTTATTGTAATCAAAATAATTGTGAAACCTTAATTTACCTCAAGCAGCATTTGAGGCTTCCAAATTCTATCATTTGAGGCTTCCAAATTCTATCAGCCAAAACCTTAGTCAGTGGTCGTAATGTAAAAAGAGAACAACACAGCCGCGTATGAAACATTTCATGAATTCAGGCAAAGGAGGACGCTGGAAAACATCGAATACTTTCACGAGAGTCAAAATTGGAAGAAATACGTAAAGCTACGTAGAGGAATTAGTCCAAGTCATAGTGAACCTAACTCGAATTTTCAATTGCTAATGAATTGGCCTAAAAATAAATAAGGAAGTTAAAAGACTGATAAATAAAGTTCAACACGAGCAGTGCTGCGGTTACTAAGTAATCGAGAAATAACAAATAATTATCCTTGTTACTCTCTTGCAAGACGCACGCACAGGTTACGGTGACACCTCATCGCTTGAGGTTTCGTTGGGATCTCAAAATTGGCGCAGAGGAAACCTCGAGAAATGTGATGGTGAAGTTAATGCTTGAGTGGAGGCTGACAGGGCGAGGCAAGTCTCCTAGATGGTCCCCTTGCTGAAACTCACGCGCAGGTGTGAAGATTCGCTCAGTTGGTAGTTGTGCATTTTCTGTATTAAACAAAGAAGCATTACTTGGTGATGTTGGAAAGATCTTCAAAGATTAAAGGTTTGAAATTGATCAAACGGGAATTGAAAATATTTTAAAAGGCCGGATGAAGACGTTTGTTTGAATGCAGCATCAACTGACTTCATTTCATCACTGTACGATCAAATGAGTAGATACTAAGAGAAAATTTTTCCGTCGCGTCTGTTTTCTTGCAACATATTTAAAATGTATTTAAAAAGTTGTAGCAAATCACAAAGTCACAAAATAATTTTGATGCAATGAATTCTAAAAAGCTACGCTGGACTACATTGATATTATTGACAAATATCAACCAAAATCAGCCACAATTTTTGCTACATTACACAGTTAGCTAAAATTAAATTAAAGGAATATCCTCACAATAAGAGCGCTGATAGCTTCTTCTTGCGTTGCCAGCTGTATGAGTGCCATTTTGCGATCCTTCCTGAAATCAAAATATTATTCAATAAAAACAATAAGAGAACAGATCCATGTTCGGGTATCGGAGAACTCGTGCATCAAGGAATAACTGAACACAGCTGCGGGGTTGAGTAACCAAGAGAGAATTCTATTCGGCCGATATAATAGCTTTTCATGAAAACGCAGCCCAAGTCAATAAAGCACACTCGACTTAACGTTACATTTATTTGATAAAGATCAGAAAAAACTATGCATTCTTTCTGATTTCGGCATCATCCTGAAAGTAGTGTTAGTAGATTGCACTTGAGGCGAAGAGAACAATAAAATGGTAACTTTGAAGCTCGTCTCGTTAATATAAGATCACCACCTATCTAATTATCAATAAAAATATTACACACAAAAAGCAGGTTGGTGATGACTTGTTTATGAATAATAGACCAGTGTTATTTAAAAATTTAACCAAAGAAAAATTTATCAAGGGAGCAAGACTTAATTATTGTTATTCAGAGACATGTCATCGATCCAAGAAGGACCGATGACATGTCTCTGAATAACAATAATTCAGTAGTATCCTGTTTAAAAAATATTAATTATAAAACAAATGGTAAGGATCGATGACATGACTCTGAATAACAATAATTCAGTAGTATCCTGTTTGAAAAATATTACTTATAAAACAAATGGTAAGGATCGATGACATGACTCTGAATAACAATAATTCAGTAGTAAGTAAACCCGAGCCGGAGAATTGATGAAGGAAGAGAGACTTACGGGAAAAATTTGAACTCTTTGACAGTACAGCCGTTCTCTTCGAAGGCTTGCTTAATCTGCTCCTCGTCGACGCTGGGCGGGATGTTGGACAGGTGAAGCGTTGTGCTCGGTGGGTAGATATTCTGTTTAAGAAGAGGCTTGTTAGATTGATTGCTTTGCTATAGCAAGGTTATCTTTCAACATAATAAGGATATCAGTATCAAACAAGAAAAAGGTCATTTTCCAGCGTAATAATGCTATATCCTAGCATAATGAGGTCTTCTCTCAAAATAAAAAGGTTGTCAGCCTGCATAATAGTGCTATATCCTAGCATAACAAGGATATATACCTGCATTTTAAGGTTACATTCCACCACAATAAGGATTTAAAGTTACATACAAACACTCCGCCAGTGTTCTAACGAAGACGAACTATCACTGAACATCAGGAATGGGGTACTGGTCAATGAATGCAAACGCTAACATTTTCCCCAACACTTGATGCGCCGCTGGCGCCCGGACAGTACAACGGGAATTGTGGTATATCGAAATAGAAGAATCGTACAATGCATACATATTTTTATATTTTGATTACTTTGTTCCATTATATACGTTAGATAGACAAAATGCTTAAAAGCTACAAAATGTTAGTAACTATGTTGAAAAAACATTAGATATGAATGAAAATAGTCGCTTAGAAATTTTTCAACGTTTTTCTGATGATGGTTATTCGATAAAACAGAAATCTAAAGCCCAAAGGTTCTAATGTAGCGACAAAAGTCGTGATTAAATTACAATTCTCACCTGGTCATCTTAGAGGCGGGCTTCTAAAAGCGATGCAAAGGCGAGTTATTCAATTAAACATAAATCCTAAGCTTCAGGTTTCTCAAGTAAGACGCCATATCAACAATAGTCTTCATAAAAATTACAAAGCTCACCTGGTGATTCTTATAGCCGGGCTTCTCGAAGCGATGCAGAGACCAGTTACTCAATTACACATAAATCCTATGCTCCAAGGTTCTCGGTAAGACACCATATCAACAATTGACTTTATGAAACTACAAAGCTCACCTGATAATTCTTAGAGCCGGGCTTCTTGAAGCGATGCAGAGGCGAGTTTGTGTAATCCTTGGTGAGGCCGGCGTCAGGCTGCCCTTCTTTAGGCAGCTGAACGGTCGAGTATTTACTCGAGTTGACGCGCAGAGTCTTGCCCCACAGCGTTACTTTGTCCAGGTGAATTATCGCTGAAAACGAAAAAATTCTTACCATGAGAGAAAAAGAGGATAAATTAATAAGCATCACGATCGAACTGAACGACGCTCCGATATACACTTTAATTGTCATAGATATGAGCTTACATGAGGTCCTTAGTTTGAATTTTAATTAACTGAGTTTAAATTAGAGCTCACATTTTGTTCAAGTATAAAGTTCCAAATGATGAAGGCCAAATACTTTCCAAAAGGTGTTTCCTTTCATATTCAACACAAAACAGCCTACAGAGGTAAAAGACCAAAACTTTTCTAACTTCAATATTCAACGATCGCAATACATTATCGGCCACAATCATATCTTTATCATGAAATCTTGTATTTATTCAAGTATCTCACCAAGATGTGCCTGATGAGGTTCGCTGAGCTGCACCAAGGCGCTGTCCTTCTTATTGTAGAGGATCTTGACGCGTTGTACATCCCCGTAAACACCTGCGCGCGTATACAAACCAGGTCACTGACACGTTCAAGACGAAAAATACACTTATTGCTACATCAAAGGATCTAATTCAGTCATGAAGTATTAAACCTTGATAATTACTACATAAGTTGTGCTTATTTAGAGCTTCACCTGTGCAGTTGGATGCTCAGATTGCATTAAAAAATTCACAATTAATGAATGGGTTCAACGTGCACAAGATTGAGGAAAAGTCAAGCTTTTTCGTGCACGAGTGTGGCAAAAGAAATATGGGTTCACATTCCAAGAATCAACATTCATTCTTATCTTACTCCTTGATTGAAGTGCTGCAGAAATCTCATGAGGCGCGAATTTTACAATTTTATAAGAAAGTCAAAATCTTAGCTACACGAGGCCACAGAAACTTTTTTGATACCAAATGGTTACTGAATCTCAATTTTATGATATTGGCAAGAGTTACTTTTATTATATAGAAGCGTAAAATTTAATTTTTCTTTAAGAAACAATTTCAAAATTACCGAATAATTAGATGAACTATCAGCGCTCAAGTTTTCGAAGAAGGAAACAGCATGTGCCGAATGTATTAAGATTCGAACAGGGGAAAAGATACAGAATCGAATGAAGAAAAATGAATTATCACATTTATGCTCAAGGCTTCCCTTTAGACAATCAGAGATTGATAAAAAATTAGTAAGGATAAATAAATCACCAATAATTGAAAATCATCCTATAATACTGTCACCAGAAACATATTACCTGCAAAGTTCGCTGTCATCATGGGAAGTTTTCAAAATTCACCTTATGTACACACGTCTAACAACTACGTATATAAATGCATAGAACAATGAACCACTTTGAATTCTAAAAGAATAAAAGGTATAACTTATATTATATCAGTAATCTATTAACAGAAATATGACGTTTCATACTTGCTCAGAGTAAAATGCACTGAAGGAGTGATATTCACGAACAATAAAAACACCGAAGTTATTCGTCGCCTTCAATGATGTTACCAATTTGTTTTAGTATTTACATTTAGGCATTCAAAGCGAGAGTTGGCATGGCAAAAAAAAAAATTGAGGAGTGAAGTTTAAAAAAATTAATAGATATTAGAATGAGGGTTTGAAAAGGAGGGAGAATGCGAGGCGACGAATAACAAATGAAAAAAACAATGGCGTCTTCATGTAGGATTTGGCCCATTCTCAAGGCAGCTTAACATGAGCCTCCAATCAGTTTAAAAAAAACTGCACTTAATAAGGTGTATTAAATCAGGAAGATGATTTAAAAGGCAATTTAAATTGTTTTACTTAATAAGGCCAGGGCAGTCGTTTCATTGACTTCAGAAAAGCGGTATCGTGCGGACCGGTATATAAGAATTCCAAAGACTCTAACCATAAATTTGGTTTCAACAAAATTATGTTGAACAAAAAGGCTAAAAAAGCTGTCAGGAACGGGCCAATGTATCAAGCATCTACTTTATTATAAATCTAACACAAAAAACTAAGCAAAATAAAAAGTTTGCAAAATGTCGAGAGATTACATGGCGGCGGCACGTACCGAAGAGGGTAAACAGAGAGTCAGGTGTGACCATCTACAGTAGAGAAGATTCGCCAAGAAGGTAGGTAGACGAGTAGTACAGGAGCCAGTCCAGCAAGAATAGTAGATGGTAGATCCAGGGGGGGCGGCACAGCGACAGAACATGGAGACATGACACGTTAAAACACCGTCAGCAGATGAGCCCAGCAAGCCGGCTTTTCGTATCATGTTTCTATCACTCGGTATGGGAGTTGGTAAGGACAATGGCCACTTGAGAGGGCCTTACTAGCTAGACTACACTATAGTGGACATATACTATCCACACTCAACGATAGAAAATTTTAGAAAGGTGAGTGAATTTAGCAGTAGTTATCTTCATCGGCTACTGGGAGTAAATCAACTTACTTCATATACCAATAAAATATTTTCTACGATCAAGTGCAACTAAATAAATATCAAATTTTTCAATAAAGATTGCCTAATCAGCGTTCAACGATGCAGCGTTTGAATTTTTCCCTCCCTTATCATTAATTTATGTGATAGGGGTTACATCAGTACAAGTAACTTATGCACAAATCTTCAATTATCATCTAAATCACCATAAAATAGGGGACCTAAATAATAAATATAGTTTTACACGTTACTGTCTTCTTTATCCACGCGCCAGCTTCATGTCTAAGTGTATTTTATCTCGTATTCGGAATGTTTCAAACTACACAACCTTTCAATTTAATAAGAAAATCGTCAAGCGATTCCAAATCGAAATCAGTAATCAGGGGAGTTAACAACCAAGTAACAGCGCGCGTTGCAAGAGATGGTTAGTTATAAAGGACTTGTTTAGATGTAGGTTTCCCTGATTATTGAGCGAAAGTTCGATGATTTCGTACGAGAACGTTTAGTTAGCCAGAAGTAAGAGAGAATCAAGTAGCACAGCTACGATAGGCAAAAAATTAAAATCGCAAAAATAAACATCATATAAAAAATTCAGGAAAAGTTTCAAGCAAAGGAAGCAAAAAGTTCAATGGTATACGAGGCTCCTTTAACACCCAAAATACAATCTAAAAATAATAAAAAAAAGTATAAAAACGCTCGATGGTTGACTGGCCTAATACAAGCCCGAATATGAGGTATTTACAAAATATTCAAAAACCTGAATTGTATTTGGTCAATAGTAAAAATGACAATCACGAATAATTTTCTTTGCCAGATATTACAAGTGAGAAAATTCACGTCGCGGTATGTTTCAGAGATAAGAAACTTGGGCCTGGAGAAAGCTGTAAAAATTTCGTTCATTGCTTACAACATCCGATATCAATGATAATAACCACGTCTCTTCCAAATAACTCGTGACTAAGTAAGATCACAAAACGCCTTCTCCTTGCTATGCCTATGCGTTTCCTTGCAAGTTGTTGTTGAGCACAATTTAAATTTAATTTATTTTGGGTACTCGATAGTAAAATTATCATCTTTAACATTGGTAACACTTTAACACTATGAACGAGAGGCAGTCAAGCATAAAAGCCTAAGGGGAAAGTATACCTCTCCGGCTCTGTCGCCACGAGCGCAATTTCTCAAAAACAGCATTCAAAAGCAACAGTGAACGGCATGATCGCTTAATCAAGTCAATAGCGTTGAGGATGAAACGGACCTCCTCATTGAGGTTGTAGACGTGGACGACACAGGAGTGCATTTGTCCTGGGAGCCGAAGACCTGCTACACCCATCGTGTTGTTGTTGGGGGCCACGCCTGCTAGTGGCATGCCCGTGAACGTCGGCATGCCTGCATAAGGAAATAAACCTGTTAAAACGAATTTGTTTGGTTAAAACGAATTTGTTACTTGTTGAACAGATACATTGACCGCTGGCAATGATATTCGGACGCATTTAGAATGGTACCTATACTAACCATTAGTAGAAAGTATTTACATGATATCTCTTAAGTGTAGGAAAGCAACAGCCCCGTTGAGCGACAGCGACCAAGAGGTTCACATTGATTAGAACACGCGAGAAGTCCACCTTATTAAAGTCACTTCTTAACATTATTTGGTTTCGGGGTCAATATGTTTGATTTGATCAGACTAGAACCACATTCAAATGGAAAAAAGAATAAATAAATAAAATCCTTGTACCAAGACGCAAAAATTTCGTTTTATTTCAGAAACTTCATTAAAAATATTTTCCTAACAAATTACAACAGTATTAACACATTAAATAAGAAAAACTTCATTAAAAAGATTTTCCTAATAAATTGCAACAGTACTAACACATTCGATAGGATTGAGGCAAAACATTTTTTTCGCAATGCCTTGTCTTACGTATTCAATCTGAAAACCGGAATGGACACGACATAAGAAAATGATCAACCATTTCATACAAAATGAATGCCGAAAATTCCATCACAGCCACGAGATTGCAACTAACTTCAGCTTGGCAACACAAACGAACCATTTGACAATTTTAAGTTGAACTAAAGTCCCCGATTGGAGTAACACAAGAAATGTAAATTTAGATCATCTTCATACGACATTAGTATGAAGCAGTTTAGCCATGGTAAGCGGAAGGCGTTGGAAGGTTTCGAGTTACATGAGATTATTTAGTTACGCTGGAGAGTAGTTTTTATTGAGCTTATCTTTAATAACCAACGCTAAGTTATTACACGACAAGGGTACAATCGTGCGGGAAAAACATTTTGGAGAACATAAAAGCACCGTTGAAAAAACGAAGAGTTTTAGAGATGACGCTCTGTAGGCAACACTTGACCAAAATTATGAAGCATTCAGCCAATATGAAACACAATTTTGAGAAAGTTTCGCATTAAAAATGCAGGATAAAAAGATTTAGTGCACAAGGACACGCATATCTGTCAAGATGTAAACCCAGGAGCCAAAGTAAGTTTGTTGTGCAGCACCAAAACACTCAACAAAATGCAAACTTTGGTTTAAACATTCCTATCACGGAACAGACTCACATTTTGAAAAGTTTGCGCAGACAATAAAATAAATACTTCATAAATGCACAATTATTGTCATCAACTAGATCGGAGAAATACGCCGATATAGTTGGTTTTATTTGTTTTAATTTGTTCAAAGTATATTCTAAAAAACGATAAATAAAATGTTTTAAAATTAAATGACTTGAGTAAGTATACGGAATATGTGATCGAAGAATATGTAAAATTGCAGGTAGTGATCGGATAAAAGGAAGCAATGAAAAAGATTTACGTTTAAATACGAATTCCCGATGGAGATGCAACCTACCTAGAAGTATGATTGCAGGATAATAATAATTTAACTCAGTACTCACTGCAGTGAGTGACAGAGTGCGCATTTTCTCGTCGACGAAAACTTGAGGTCACGGACAGACGGACGGACGGACATGGCGAGCACAATAGTGCATTTTTTCCATAAATGAGAAAATGCGCTAATAAGTAAGGATGGAAGAGAGAAGAAACATACCTGCGTGCCCGTGACCGTCTCCGCGTTGCAGGTTAGGAGCTGAAAGAGAAGAGACTCATAGAGAGAGTGTGGTGGGTAGTGCGACGTTAGACCAACTGATGCTAACCTAACCAACCGTCTTGTTCAACGTGTCGCGGCGTTTTCTCTTTGTCTTAATTAAGAGCCAAGATTAAACGCATTGAAGAATAATGCGATGTGCATTTTCAGCCATTGAATGCAATGGGGAATAAATTTGATGACATGAATACTTGGGGACTGCAGTAATCGCATTGCTACAGACTTACACAGAATTACCACAGAGTTACAAGTTAAATCGAAGCTTCTGTGATTAAAGGCTGTGAACGTGATAGGACGTAAATTTACATTTTTTGTGGTTTGAAAGTGGATGAACTCGCTTTGGTTTGATATAAAAAAAATCCATTTATCTTTTACAATTAAATTGGGATTGACGGTAAGCGGTACATTTGAACAAGACGGATCAAAAGTTTGTATCAGTTGAAAGGAGCAGGGTAGTGACGGCTCGTAACAAGCATGGAACAATTTACTGACACTGAAAGATAAACCAAGTTTACGGGATACAAGATTAGGGAGAAATTTAAGCTAGTGTGCCGGTAAAGCAATTATCAGGAGCGTAGAACAACTCAAACTAAAACAGTATCGTTCTTAAACTGAAGTTGAATATGAGAATCATTATAGATTTGAGTAGAAGTTAATGATTTCTTTGCTCAGTTTCTTCATAATGGAAAATGACCAGAACGTGACTTGTTGCTTCATCAATGCAGACCAGCTTGTGCCCGCTTACGTAGGACTTGAATAGATCGATTTTAGCAAGACAACTTGATAAGAGTTGAACGAGAAAAATTTAGGCGGGATGACCGAGCTCTGGCATACAAGAATATCAGATATTTAGACTGACGAAAATGTATATACAAGCAGATCATATGAAAAGATAATTGGGGTTAAAAATTTAGGATAAATTTGTGGCGATACGCGAGAGAAAAAATGTCAAGGATGATAAGTAGGAAACATGATAAAATGGGAACATACAAATAAAGTAAAATGAACACGTAAATAGCATGCGAATACTTATCATGCTAAGGAGAAACCAGTTAATTTCACAGCGAGTTTAATTCTTTTTAACCTCTCTTTATATTATTTCACCCAGAATATGCCACAGGTTTATTCAACACCGAGAGCACCACAAGAACTGGCAAAAACTATGACGAAGATCCAACCAAGAGTTCCCAGGAAGACCATAACGAACGTTAAAATTCTCATAATTGAACAATACTTTTAAAGCGAATTTCATCGAGCGAGCGACTATTAGAAAAACCGATAAAATCATGTATTTACCATGCCAATTCGAGAGATTTGTATCTTTTCGCATAAAAGGTGTGGCACGATTTCCGTGATGGAAAAAAGACCGTCTTCCATTCTGATGAAAAATTAATTCTGGACCTCATTTGGGAACATCATCTTCAAGATCATTTCGATATGCTTGACTTTATCCTTTAGCACATGATGATATTTGATGCCTACAAGAACATCGATTTGTCCGTTACTAGTCCTAGAAAAATTATGGTTCTAATTCAGGAGTTTGCAAACACAACTAAAGTACAAAACCTTGTAACCATTGTAACTCGGGGTTAACAATACACAACAATAATAGCAAAAATTCATGGTCATTGTAAGGAGCAGCTTTTTGTGCTTCCCGGTGTGCAGTTGAGGAACAGTAACACATCACACACAAATTTTACGACGTGCGACACACCTTTCTTGGAAAACAACACTTTAAGACCATCGCAACAGAATCGATCAAATGTACGGTAATTATTTACAAATTTAATACAATTTTCGACCCGACAGTCTTGCAGAACAGGACCACCGCACCATCTGGACATGTAAAGTACACACACAACAAATACATTGCACTCAGAGCTGACACAGAATGATAAGATAAAACATCTTAACCCAAAAAAAATATGCTGTACATTTTGACCTTCTTAACGCAAAAAGGATATGCTGCACATTTTTAAAGTAGTTAACTTAATAAAAGGACGAGTAGGACCAGGAATTACCTAATAATGTGGCCATATTCGTACCTCCAAGTCCGCCAATGGGCGAACCCCCATAACCGGAGATGGAGGAAGAGAGGCTGCCCTGCATGCCGCTGAAGGGGGTGGGCAGCACACCGGGGCCGCCTAGCAGGATGGGAGGGTTGGTTCAGGTGTGGGTGAGGGGCAACACATCGTTAGGGGGACTTGGACCGGTGAGCAACAAGCACAAGCCAACTAAAGTTCCTCTCACACAAAACATCGCTCACGTGTATTTAAACGGGAAAATTATTGATTCAAATGTATAGAGCACAAATTGTTCAGAAAAACAATCTCCAAGGTATTTATATACTCAATGGAAGCTATTCTAATAGTGAGCCTGCGATATCGATGTATAGTGAGGGACGAACTTTTTCCAAGTTCCAAGTTGAAGACGTGAGTAGCAAGAGCATGAAAGGTACAGAAGAACAGCGTCAGAAAATGCAGAGAATGCCTTTAGTTCTGCATAGTGCGGTTGAAGCATTCATTTGAATAATTAATACGAGCGTACAAGCTGTTATTCAACTTGAATTCAATCTTCAGGCATTCACTTGATCATTCTTAAATTTTCAAGAAATACAATTAAAATTGATTGTTATTTGCATACTAATTTGACTTAATGAAAAAGGAAAGGCCGCGTTTAGTATCATTGGTTCATGAACGTTAAGAAATTGTTGCTGCCGGAGTATGGAGATGAAAAAAAAATTGAACTAAATTTATTTTCTGTAACGTCGTGAAAGAAGAATAAACTTTATGAACAATACTCGACGTTCGTTTTGAGGAGTAAAGAGAATGTAAATAGAAATGGGAGAAGTTCAGATCAAAGACGCGAGTCTGAGTAGATAAGAAATTGTTAAATTAAGTCGCTGGGTACAAATAACACGCGATATATTAGATTCTAGATACATAGAGCAGGCAATGCTTAGGCTAGCAATATGCAAGTGAGCAACACAATATTTCTTTCATAGAACAAACTGAACAAGCGTCCTACAAACTGCACGGGATTGGCAAAGGGAGCGCATGGAAAGAACCATCGGGTAAACGATTAAATTATTCACTAGCAAGGCAGGGGTCGTGATGAGGCTTGGGAACAACATTTGTACAGGGAATAGGGAGGCTCAGTTAAAATTTACGCGGTAAAAACAAAGCTGGCAATGATGGCCACAAGAACTGTGCAGATGCTTTATAAGCCAAGCATTACCCGCAATGCACGAGCGTATCAGACACGGGATTGTAATCAAAGTAAAACACGCTCAAGTTCTCAACCTGGCAACATTATAAAAAATACGGAAGGGAAAATAAAGGTGAGGATATGCAGAAGTTAACAGTTAGCAAGAAGAGAAGGAGAGAAAGATGCAGCAGAGGTGAAGAGCGCAAAGTAGAAGACGTAGATCGTGAATGCAGCATCGTCCGAGCATTCATCATCAGATTTTTAGGCCCATAGAATAGTAAGCTTATTCACTTGGTTCATCAAAAATATTGTCTATTTTGGAAACTATAAATTTTGTATCGAGATTGGTTTATAGAAAAATATGAAGCGCATCACGATAGGCTGTCGAGGAATGCAAGGCGATGCTGCAGTGGGGCTATTGGGGGGATTTGCTAAGTTATCCTTCTCACCTTTTAGCTGAAACTCTCCCAAGTTTTTATTCGCAATTCGTTCTTATAATTTGACTTACGACTGTTATTAAACTTTAAATAAATTGACGAAATCCCAAGTTTTTCTATAAATGAAAGTAAAAAATGAAAATTTTTTTGCGCAGTGCGACGCAGGAAAACAGAATTCTTACCATGGGATATATAATCTCGACCCACCAATTCTTTAACCTGATTCCCGAATAATCCTGAGTTCGAGCATTGCTATCTCACCTCCTTCTCTTACACACTCACCTCCGATGGCCAGAGCGCTGTCCAGCATAGAGTCGCCGGTGGGGAGAGAGGCGTTGGTATAGTCCCTGGATTTGTCGTTGTTGTATCTTACGTTGAGGCTCGTCAGTTTGCTGTACTCAATACGCAGTGTGCAGCACGCCGTGTAGATGTTCTTACCGTCCAGGGTCTGCAAATGTACAGAGAATTTTAGGTATAATGTTTCTAGTGCACACAGTTATTGAACTAATCACATTTAACAGAAATACTGGAAGAATGTTCTGCTTTGCTAATATAGAACATACATAAGTGACTAGTACCTGAATTCACGTCTCAACTAACTTATCTTTCAAGAAAAAAAAATATATATTCTGAAAACAAGATATCAAAGTAAACTTACACGAGCATGCAGAAGATGAATATGCATTCTATAGTTTCCTAATAGAATATTCATCAAAAGAATTGTTAATGTAATACATATATATTTTACCAACGGGTCGATTCATTTTCTTATAAAATCAAAGGTCTGAAAACTTAAAAATAGATCAAATTCCAAAAATGCTCACTGCTCACCATTTTAGCAGCCTGCGCCGTGACGACATCGGGGTACTGGATCAGGGCTTGGAATGTGTCTGCACGCAATAACAAATAATTATTAACGGGCTCACACTTTAATATAAACACTTTAAATAATTATTGAAAGGCTCAAAATTGAGTTTTAAAAGTTTTCTTTCTCAGGAGCATAGTAAAACAGTCCAATACATTTCCCAGGTAACTAATTATTTTGGCACAAATGACAAATGAAATCGTAACAGACAGAATTCAAATGCTAGGTATTGAGTTTAGTGACCTCAAAGAAGGCTTCTAACCCGAAAAAAAAAACTTTTTACAGAAATATTTTCGAATCATGTCCTTTCTAAGAGTAATATGCGACAGAACAACATGCGTTATATGAAAATGAGTTGAAATGGCAAGTTTTGTATGCATCTTAGATAGGTACATGCAAAGAAAATTAAAATTCGAAATACTTCTCATGTTAGGACTCGAATTTGTAATCTTTTAACGCACAGCAGAAAATGCGAATAAATATCTTGTTTCTGCAGCTACAAAGATTATGTTAATTCAGCAATATTCACTGCACAACATTCTTACTCAATTCGCTACTCTAGAGTTTCAATAATAACAATTCAAGCGTCAAAAGCTGCGTACGAACTCGCACTTATGGCGAGCGTGTGCTACGGGCACATGGGGGGACGCAGAGATATGGCAGGAAGCGAAGGGAGCAGCGCAGAGGCACGGCACGTAAACAGAGGGGCCAAAATAGTCAGCCAGAGGGTAAACACGAGAAGCCATGTGTAGCAGCACCGCTACTAGCACAGCTTCCGTTCTTCATCAACAATTTTGACTTACGAATAGATAAAATACGAATAAAACGACCATCACTCCGGTACTTCTAGCAATCGTGAAACTTTTTCAAATTGTAAATAGTAGAGTTTTGGATCGTCAAAAAAATTGCGTCTTGGAGTAAGCACATCAACAGAAGCTTGTCTCGTTTTCACGAACCAGCGCGCAATACATGGAGTGATCTCTGCATCACAAAAAAAAAAAACAATGTTTAAGGTCTTGGCTGCTTAATTCAACCATGCTTAGTAATCTTCGATTTTGTCACTTCCATTCTTTGAAATTATAATGACCTATAAACATTAAGCATAAGAATTTACAGTAAAGCGGTTGAGGTGAAAACCCGTAACCGTAATGGTGTGAGTGTACTTACTATTCTTTGTGAACGTGATGATCTTCAGGACACGACCAACACGAGTGAAAATCTGAAAAATAAAATTAATATGAAATCTAATAGCCACATTCCTAAATAATTACATGTAGAACCACAGAGAAAGCTTATTTCCTAAAACTTGTATACTATTGCGAAGGCCTCCGTAGAAGAACGTAAGGCACCATATAAAGAGTTCTATAAGATAAAATTTACATTTTTCTTCATTCGACATCGACAGGCGCGCCTCATTCCAAGGAACTCCTACGCGTCATCATATTATTATGATGAATTTACATAATTTTTTCGTTTAAATAACACTCAGCCATCGCATTATCTGCGAGTCATGCATAATGACCGACTTTCTGTACGTAATATTTGTCAAAAATTTAGAAATCTAACGCAAAATTTGTGCACGGTTCGAGAATATCATCGTAAAACATTAGACCAATTCGTACTGGTTGACGGCAACGTATCAACAGAACATCATGACAGTAAAATAACAGCGCGGTTAACATTCAATTGTATAGGCAGAACTGAGCTGACGCAATTAGCTAGTGATCCACATCATTAAGAAGATCGAGCTAGGGGCTTGTCACGCAACCTGCAGCTATTGACCGACACACGCTCACTGTTGTCTGACAAATTTATTGCACGCACGAAGACGTTTCTTTGATCTGTCGATTTAGTTCCGTCGTGCAGCAAAGAACTGAAAAGCACTGAGATCAATAACAAATCTTATGATCATATGTTCGAAAAGTAGTTGTACCTCAATTAGGACCAATATATTGGAACATTTAAATGAGCAATATTTGAATCCATTTCGTTTGAATGTTGCCCTTAGCAGTGAAAAGTAACACGAAAATGTTCAGAATCTATGGTGCTAAATTGATATGAGCACCTTAGTCAGAAAGCAAAATCGGCACCTAATTCAATAACAATCAAATTGACTAAAAACCTCACAGCTGACATCTCACTTCATAGCCAGGATGAAAAGTAAGCATTGTAAACAGATGCTAGGTCAAAATATAAGTACTAACAAAAAACGGGAGCTGGCAACATCTCGAGCTTTGAAATCATACGTGCAGCTATTAGCACAACTATCGACTCTAAGACAAGTTGGTAGCAGCACCACCAAAACTATCGATAATGTGAGTAAGCTGCTGCAGGGGCGTCGGCAGTAAGAGCAAGCGGCAGCAAGGGCGCCGGCGGCAAAGGAAAAGCGGCTGCAGGGGCGCCGGCAGTAAGAGCAAGCGGCAACAGGGGCGCCGGTAGCAAGGAAAAGCGGCAGCAGGGGCGCCGGCAATAAGAGCAAGCGGCAGCAGGGGCGCCGGCAATAAGAGCAAGCAGACGCAAACGGCAGGTAAGCGCAGGTCGGCGCGCCGCTAATCAAATTAAGGAAAGCCTCGGTGTTCGTGCCTCTGTACACAAACATCTCGCCGTGACCCGCCTAGCTCGTCCTTTTCTATCGCTTGCACCTGAGGTCTGCACCAGGAATTACGACGACTGCTTCAACGCACAATGACGGAACGACAAAATAAACCCAGACAGCAACTTCGAACGCAAAGAATTAACCAAGACAAATGCCGAAAAATTCTCTGGGACATAGACCGAAGAATTTAAAAGGAGAACGATCAAGGATTCACATGACAAAGAACTCAATCATGCAGAATGTAGATAAAGAGCCAAGAATTTTTTTTAAATAATGGCCGAAAAATTTACCCAAAACAATCTCCCAAAAAATCGCCGGTGATTAATAAATGAGGAATATGTATGATAGTGAGAACATTTTTATGAAATTAGGAGCCGGAACAGTAAGCCGTGGCACACATGTACAATGTACTCAATGAAAACTCAGATGGCTTACTCCCTGCATGACCAGAATGGGTTCTAGGTCTCGTATGTCACTGGAACATCGAGGTTTTATGACCACCGGGAAACGTGGGCTGAAGTTTCATGGCATCTATGCCAGCTTCCGAGGCTCGACTTCCACGCACTGACCAAGCCGAGATGATAATCTAGGTGCACAGGTAAAACTCTGAAGAGATAGGTAGTTTTCCTAATTATTATTACGACTCTTGATTAGATAGTTATTCAAAGTTGATCATAAAATGTCTATGTGATCTGGAATTAAATTTAATGTGTTTTCAGACGGTCCGCTCACATCATTGAAAAAACAAACATTCTTTGTTTTAATTAACGTATTCAAACATCGCCAATCAGAATAGAGCGGTGTCATTGTGAATGAATTGAATAAAATCCAGCTTCAACAGGCAAAGCTAACAGAATTTTCATCGTGATAAAAATGAGATCTCATACATGCAACAATATTCAACAAACCATGACTGATCAAGATCTAATACGAGGTTGTTTTAATTTCTCCCTGAGCGGCTACATTTCTCATATAAAAATTTACAATTCAGCCATTTCTCTGGAAGATCTATTCCACAGGGCAAACAAAATTTCAAAATCTGTCTTAAAAAATAGAATAAATTTTGATGATTTATAAACCATCAATAATAGTATACGTTACATCAACAGGCTGGAATTGTTATGGACGTACATAGGTATAGGTCAGGGAGATGCGTTGCGCGACATTATCTTAGAAGTACGTCGAGTTTCGCTAGCAAACAAAGGAGGCCGGTGACACCTCTCCAGCAGTGCGAGCATTATCGGTTTCGGATGGGCTGCTTCTCGTGACAAGCACTGGCTTCCGTGAACCCGTCGCCCTCCTACAGTGAGGCAAGTGGCCATTGCTACAGCATCTCTTCAATCTTCAACACCCAATTTCAAATATTACACCCATCTTGCATAAGGTCTACAATAATTTGTCAATTTATTGTGATAGTTTGAGCAAAACAAATTTCGACACATACATGCATAGACTTGTTCTCAGCACGAGAGCCGAGACATCGACTGTCATAAAGGCATGCTCTGAAATAATTGCAGCAATAATAAGTAGCAGCAATCATGGCAAAAACTAGTGTAAAAAGTAATGAGCAAAATAACGACTTCACACGCATGATTTCAGTGCGAATGCTGAAAAATTCAGACGCACGATTTCAGTGCGAATGCTGAAAAATAACCCTTCCTGTGGTCCCGGTTTGCCCCTACCGTAGATGCGTTAAAAATTAATTGAAACAATATATTTTAAGACAACTCCGGTTTTCGTTCCTGAATCAGCTTCAAACGTCTTCAACACGAGATCAAAACCCAGCACAGATTTTTTCCACAACCTCATACAATGAAAAGCAACTAGAAAACGACTATTTTCTGATAAATATCAGATAGCCTCGCTGAAGCATTGAAAAGTGAACCACCCATCGTACAGCTGCCTCTACAAGCAAGTCGTTGGTGTTGTTGTGGTCAGGGGAGTTAGTGGATCAAACAACTTGGGGGAGCCAAGTCCAAGAAAGCTTACAAGGGCTCTCATAAATTAGCATCTCCCCCTTGTTCCTCGTGCAACGGCTGGGACCCTTGGAATTGTTCGCAGTTGGGTGAAAAATTCAACTCCGTTAATTGTGTCCCATTTCCGAGAAAGACATCTCTCACAGCAAAAATATAGATAATCGCCTGAATTAGCAATCGAATCCTAACGCCAGTAACTGGTCAAAAAACTTGAACATTTATGAGATGTCGCTCATATACTTTATGGCAATCCTTATAAGCACCGCGCGTGTTACTACGAAAATGTGAATATGTTGATGAGTGCATGATATTGTCGGTGCAAGGACCAGATTCATATATGCTGGCGAGAATTTCTTTAATAGAATTCATTTGAATGAATCAGTAACCAAAAGCGAATAAAATTCAAATTGAACGAGTGCGGTCGGTACAGGGGCAAAGGGAATGCCATCGGTAGATAGGAAAGCTTGCAGTAGCACTCAAGGTCTTTCGAGTGGTCGCTCCGTCAGAGGGCAGAGAAGGCACTCAAAATATTTAGATTAGGATGAGCAACGGCCGCTACAGCAAGAGGCTTCACCTCTCCCTACCTCCGTCATCTGAGTGCCCTCACTTCACAGGATGCATCAACGAATCAAGAAAAATGACCAGTGTATAAAAGGGCCAGTCTCAGGAGCTGGCCAAATCTCAGTTAATGCTCAAATGTTAAATCAAGAAAAGTTCTGGAGATCCCGTAGAAAATGAGAATTTTATATTTAAATTTACACAAAAAGTGTATTTATCGCTCCACAATAATATTAGTCCAATCGAAAAAGGCTTTACAAACGACATTATATTAATATGAACTTGGCTTTTAATTAGCAAGAGAGAAAAATCAATACGAAATTTTCAAATTATTCGAGTTAGATGTTTGAGCATCAGAAGTGGACAATAAGGCTAGAATAGTCAAGGATTGAAAAGTTAGCACTGAATTTAAAGAAACGAGTAAGACATTGTACATTAAGCATAAATCGACCTTCAAGAAAATGAACAGTTCCTCGATAAACTCACACAGAAATTCATCTACAAGCTCCAGCGCTTAAATGGAACAGGAATTCTAAGAATAACTGTGGACTCGGTAGACAAGCTCCAATAGCTCAATCCTCAGAGTACAGTTTTAAAGCAAAGACCGAATGAAGACGGGCGCTCCCTTCATTAAAGCTGTGGCTCAATCCCCTGCCTTCGCTCGAAAATGAGAGCATGAAGCATTCTACATCGAGATATTGGAACAATTTATGCTAAAATATTAAATCACTTCTATTGTAAGAGCGAAGGGATAATTTTTTGCTTAATTTAGGATCGCTGTGCTGAATGTGATCCGTCTACATTAAGCAACCGCAGAAAAAATGTGGTTAATTCCAAGACGTTAACACGTGTTCAAAACGACGATTGTGATCTTGCATATTAACTACGCTGGAATGCATCACGTAATGCGCATACATTATTTTTGAGAATTCAAAAGCACGAGAAGATTAACCAACAGTTAATCAAAACAATAATTATAATCGAAACCCTTACGCAAACGGTAAATAATCGAAACCCTGACTCAAGTACAAAGTTCAATTTCAAAGCCCACAACAGCTAATAGAAGACACTTTCGTCTCGTCTCCGAGTATCTTATTTCGGAAAAAGAATCTCTGTCATAGACTCCACTGCAAAATCAGGCTGGATCGGCAACGATCACCTCTAGTGCGGAGCAAGTGACACCGTCACAGCTTGACAATTTTATTGCGACGTCCTCGAGCTGCATTCTTTCCAGCGTTCACCTTTCACCGAGGAATTCCAATTGAAATACACGCACTGGTGATGCGCATCGCTGCGATAGCAGCATTGGCATCCTTTAAGGCAGCTAAAGCGAAATGGCGATCAACGTCGTCATGAATACGAGGACAACCAGAGCAAAGGTCCAGCCGCACCGCCTCCGATAACTATATGAATAAATTTGACACACCAGAAACCACTGAAATATCAATTCGATATTGGTTGATTTACGAATCCAAATCTACAACACTGTTGACTCTGTTTAAAGCCGGAGAATTTGTCGTGTCTTCGAAGGCACTCCCAAAATTCAGAGAAAATTGGCCAAATTAGATGAAAAACAGCTTTTCTCGCAAGGGGGATAACAAGGAAGACAAAATCGTCGCATCTAAGAGGGTCAAAATTTAACGAATATTGGAAATAAAATTGTTTCCTACTTCCACAGAAAGAAAGCGACAAATTAAATATAATTCGGCCTATTTTACAAACAATATTAATAATATTGACTAGGGAAATTCCCTTTCTGTTCTCTACAGGAAAATTCAGAATTTCAAAAAATACAACAAATTTGTTAATAATTAATGCAAAACATTTCCCTCATAAATCTCTTTTTTTTTTGTATCCTTTCGTTTGTTTGAGTAAATAGAAAAATCTCGGCGCAATGAACAGCGTGAATTTAAAATTTAATCTGTAATCTGAATGAAGTCAAAACTGCTGAACTGTGAAATATTACCCGCATTTTGGATTAAAATACGATGCATCACGGAAGCATAAAAATGAGCTCGTAATAAACATGCACCGAACAAGGTAGCCAATTACGACAACTCCATTACTGAACATGGTCAAATTGAGAGACAGAGATAATAATATTCAATATAAAATATTTTCACTCGCACATAGCCGTTTCGGCTCTCCTTATTTGTCGGTGGCTTTAACATTTTGTTCATGGCTCTTCAGGCTTGCGGAAATACCGACTCATATTTTCATTAAAAAAAAACAGTAAAAGACTTTTACTATCCATTTTGGAAGAGATCATGTATACACATTATAAAAATGTGTGCTTCCAAAAAAGCAATTTACCGAGTAAGAACCATTGATATGAATATGAATGAGGTTGATTAATTGATTTTTGTTTGAAGAACTGTCAAACACATCTCGGAAGAAATCATACGTTCATCATTTTGCGAACTATTTTGTTGATTCGGCGATGGATTAGGAATATAGACACTGAAAAACGAATACGATGCAAAATAAGACTCATCGGGACCGTGGGACAATTGAAATGGCATTAGCATAAAGCGAATCTCCAGGAAGTAAGGGTTAACGGTATAAGAAGAGGCTGACGCACTGATGAATAGTGTAATGAACTGGCGTAAGAGCGAAGTCTCTATTGCAATAAAGCAATAATTTCCAAACCAAACGATCAACAAATATAGCTCATCGATTGTCAAGGAATGAGAATAAGTGCATGACGTATGAACTATACAAGGGACGACGAAGTAACAGCAATTCAATTCATGGTATAAATCCCTTCGTTGCTAAAGCGCTCCTAATAATCTCGACCACTCACTCGACTGAAGACACGTATGAGACGTAACACCGGAAGTAAGAAAAATTATCGATGCAAAGAAATCGAGCAATTGGGATGCATCATCTTAAGTAAACAAACAAATTCAGAGATATTTTACGAGCATAAATAGCACACATGAATTAAAAACTCCTAACACGAGCCATAAACACTAATTGAGTCAGGGCACAGAAAAGGAGCAACACATCCAAACTAGACTACAAACAGCACCCATAAAATAGCCTAGGAAGTTACGTAAAGATTCACCCGAACTTCACCGCGTCGTAACATGAAATAAAGTTCAAGGATCGAAAATGTTGGAATGATCGGCGCTCTAGCGTGGCCTGAGACTACTACGTCCTAAACACGTAATAAAGATAGATACGTCTAAAAGTACCTGATAGAGGACGACCAGCGTAACTAGCGGGCCATGGGCCTCTAGCGTGGCCTGGGACTACTACGTCCTAAACACGTAATAAAGATACGTCTAAAAGTACCTGATAGAGGACGTTGAGGGTGACGGGCCTCGGCGTGGCCCGGGACTACTACGTCCTAAACACGTAATAAAGATACGTCTAAAAGTACCTGATAGAGGACGTCGAGGGTGACGGGGTAGAGCATGTGCTCGATGATGACCCTGAGGACGGTGTTGGGGCCGCCCTGCGTCTCGTTGTGTGGCGGGGCGCCGACCAGCGCGTTGGCTGCCTGCAGCGCTGCCTGGGCGCTCGGGTTCTGACGAGCAAATGCAAACAATTAAATACATACAATGTATGTAAATGTTTCAATTAAAACACCATCTCTATAATCGTTTAAATAGACGGTGCTGCAAGATGATGAATTAATCGAGTAAAAATGATATAAAATGATAAAAAGTTCCTCTCTGAAGAAAACAACACATCGAGGTGCTCCTGTATTCAATTCGAGAATATTCAATACAAATGAGGAACTGGATGAGAAAAAATCATCAATAAATTGAGCTTATCTCGAGTCGTAATTTATAGAAAACGCTTCTGATCCTTATAATCTGTAAATGAAATTGTATTTACGGATAAAAATTCAGAAAACTATAGATAATTCAAAATATCTCAGAAAATTTTTGAATTTAAAATAACAAGAATATCTCTCGTGAAACTCTCATCGAAAACCCCAAGCCTATAATCGTGTTATCACTAATGCTTTTTTCACTGAACTCAAAGCCAGTAGCTTTGCTCTAATAAAAAATAATGAAAAGTAAATGAGGTAAGAAATTGACGATGGTGAGACAGTAGCAGTTGCACCGCCTGATTTTTGGTCATCGGATATTAACTACAGAACGACTTGAATGCTTTTAATTGTCACATTACCCGAAAATCGATCTGTTTGAAAGGTGTAAGCAAACATCTACGAAAACAAGAATTAGCATCGTGTGATACTATTGCACGGACACAACAATATTTTGTAAGCATTATACCAATTGCGAAAAAATCCTCGCAGCTAGCTGATACGGTTCAAGATTCTCGCAGCTTTTCGCAAAACCCTCGCACAAGCGAACTAGTGATAAGTCTTGAGGCCCATCAAGTGAATTTTAAATAGCATGAAATGGAGAACAGCATCATTAAAATTATTTTAATTTTCACGCAACCATACTGACGAACATATCTTCTACGCGACTGAAGATTCGCAACTTTGACAAATCTGAGTAATCTGTAAATAAATGCATAATAATATCGGAGTAATACTGATCTGGCGAATTAAATCATTAGTGACGAGACGTCATTCAAGTTGTGAGGAAATTAGCAACATTTGAGGCATCATAAATGTGAGGCAAGCGTTACGGACCAGGCAGGTTTGCGAGGCAAAGTAGAGCGCCAGAGCCAAGCATCCATTGTTCGAGGCAGGATCGCAATGAAAAGAAACCTCTACAGTGAGTGGCCAACTAAGAGATGAGACGAGGACATCATTGCGAGCCCTGCTTCTCATCTAACATATAATGAGCGCGACTAAGAGCGTACTTACGAGACCATCCGATCATCGCAGCAGTCACAGAGACATGTCGCTTACATGTCATCAAGTTATTACTAGAAACGGATTCCACCTCAATGGACTTTATAGAAGGTTCTCGTAAGCAAGTACGTGCACTTGCCTTCAACTTGATAAAATTGTATGGAAAACGAACAAATGAGAAAGGGAAATCTTATAAAGGGTCTCAAGAGAGCATCGTTAAGGTTGCGTGTGTACAGAACTAAATACGGGTATCGAAAGGACCTATGGAAACATCTGTATTAATGAAATTCATTAGACACGCCGCTTGCGAATTATAAAAATCGTATTTCGTGGCTTCGATACGTTGAAATTGCGCTTGAATATTTTCTCTCACGGAATACAGTAGATTCAAAATAGATATAGCTTGTAGTTCAACAATACCTATATTCCTGACAATAGCAGTGCGTTGTTTTGATATTTTGGTAGAACGGTGCGTGAATGCTGTGGATAATGAGATGAAGTAAAACATCAGGACGGAAAGCTTAAATTATATGAAAGTTATTAAGCGTTAGCCAAAAAATCGCCCGAGCAAATTACTCACTGCATTGGAGTGAGTTTGGTCGGTTTTAAGTTCTTTGTGGTTGGAGAACTGAACGTAGACGGCCTGGTTACGAAGCTGCGGCGTGCAGCCAGTGAAGTACGATACCATGGTTACGGCAGCGCTCTCATCAGCCATCTCCAGGAACGCCTGAGAATCAGATCAGGACATAAAAATTAATTCCAGACGATCATACCTCATCAACGTAGTGAATGTCTGAATACGAGTTTATCTCGAATGATTAGAGAATGAAAGTAATGGCATCAACATATCTTCAGAATGATTAAAATCGAGTATGAAATCAGCCGGAAATAAAATAATAATAAAATCTTAACAGACGACTATATTTTCCTCTGTGAAATGGAGCAGTTTCGACAAGTTCACAATTGGATAGCTCACTCACCTGATTTTTTCCCTTCAAGACGAGGACGTTGGTGACCTCGCCAAATGGTATTCCCAGATGGACAATTTCTGCCTCAGTCACTTCGTTTGGGATGTTGCGTATGTGCATGACGCGTGAAGGCGTTCCATTGCTTTTGTCCAACTTTGCCTGTCAACGAACAAAAGAAAATATTACAGTTTCGCACCAGCAGCACTTCTCAAAAGTGTTTACGAACTCAAAAACATGCACCACTACGAAATGTAAAAAAAAATTGTGCATCTGCAGACCGTGAATCTCGCGCCCCGCGACTAGACACGAGTCTTGAAATAGAGCAGACAAGGCACCACAACAGTTTGCCAATGTCGGGCTTTAGGAGTGGAAAAGATTGTTTTGAAATACTACGAATTTCACGATTGAATTCTGAACTGACTGGGGAACAGAAATGAAATTATACCCGAAATACAGGAAATTACTGATCATAAATGATTTACTTAAAGAGAAATTTAGCGGAATGATTCCATTATTATAGTAAAGTTATATAAATATACAATACCAATGTGCGGAATTTTGCACGGCAAAAAAATATATACTAAAAAAAAAACACTTGCCGAAAGTAATCCACGAGGACGAGAATATGAAAGACGGAAAGAGAAATAAAAAATTATAAAATAGGAAAGAAGGGAAAATGGGAAGAAGCCACGCAAGTTCCTCTTAAAAATAAGAGAAAGACTTCAGAACAAAGCTCCAGAAAGACGGGCATCAATAAGAATTGGAGCGAGAGTCAGATATGAGGAGAGACAAGACAAGCTAGGCTCAGCGACAGCGGCAACTCGAGCATGTCGAGTGATCCAACAAACGACAGTCGATCGGCAACAAAGTTAGGCAAGTTTCGTTAGCGTAACGGCACCATATTAACCTCGGGCGGGACCCGGGCCACATGGTCAACATCAAAGATAGAAATAAACCATAGATCGCATAAGAATTCATATACAGATGGAAGCATTAGGGAATATCATGGACGTTTGATAAATGGTTTCAAGATTAACGTAGTTATATCCGGACTTAAGACTGATTGAACTGGATATTCTGAAAGGTAATTAAATTATACGAACCTCCTTAGCAATTTTCGAAATGAGAAAAAAACGAGCTTAAGAGGGAAATCGAGGATATAACTGGTATCATTCAATGTTAGGAAAAAATTCGCAAGAGAATAGGATAAAATGCAAAACATCATATTTCTTAGTATATCAACGCTGACTTTGGAACATATGTTTAAATGGATGAAAGTTTACGAATAATTCGGGGATTGAATGGCGGGTCGTAAGTCACAAGTCACTTTAAATCAAGGATATGCGCGGCCTCGCGGTGTCGGATCAATGAACACAGCCAGGCTTGTCTGCTACAGCGGCTATGCCAGAAGATTAAGTCGTCACAACAGCGATCGCTCGTTAACGTTTTTGCATGGGCTAGCTTAGGTCGGCACTATAGGTAGGAAGGCTACAGTGTGTCTAAACGGATCTCTGCTGTCAAGTTGATGCAGGATAGTGCTATAACTGCAGCGCTTTTCTGCCTTAAAGGAGAATCACGAACGTGTTTTCATTAGCGGTAAATCTAATAGATTGCCGATTCATTTCCCATATTTGAATGAAAGATTCTCGTCAATTGTGAAGAAACAAAGAAAGCATAGCATGTAAAGATATACAAGCGGTGAAATGTAATTTGCATCAATTTCGTTTCAACGAGAGGGAGTAATTTAGGTTGAGGTTAGGGAAGTCTCAGGAAAGATTATTCGGAAACAAACTTGATCAGCGACGGTTTTTTATGGAAAACAAAATGATCCCACAAGGCACTAGTTGGTTTTATCATTCGCATAATATAGGCAATCGGTATTCTTAAGAAATTCACCTGTAGCACCATTAACCTATTAAAGCCAAGTGGCAGCTTTATTTGCAACCTAAAAAGATGGTTATATCATTAATAATGAGTTACATTTCAGTTTTCTTGTACTACACCGCGTCATTCACGTTTCTTGAGCGTAACGAACAAGAACTGTCATATTCGGTCGTTCGCTGTACTGTAAGTGGACCTTGAACTACAGCCGGGTAGCTGTGTTTATGAGCATGTCGCTACCAGTGCACAGAGAAGAGTAATTACCATTGTTTGTCAGTATGAATTTTATTATGTTAAATGTTGTAATGATGGATTAAACGTCTAGTAATCAGACAATACTCATAAATGGCATTTAACTTTGATATTGAACTCAATATAAGCTAAATTATAGAAAGTGGACATGAAAACAGTATTTTTGCGTGAATGTTGGAAATAGAGGGCTAATACCTAATGTTCTGTTTGTATCACAACAAAATTATTTAACATCTTTTTAGTAAAATTTTTCAATGAAGTAATATTGTGATTTATATAACATCTTATTTCTTGAGTGTTGACTGTCAGAAATTCACGATGTGTTGGCAGAGTGTGACAAAAAGTGTTTGCAATCGAACTGCCAATTGAAAATCCTCAGGCAGAATCAGGCATTGATTCTAATGATTAGGATGCCTCCACCCTAGCCATTTACAGAGATGCATATTGACGAGTCATGTTAAAAATGACAATGAAAAAGAGGATAATAACGTAGTTAGTGTTATTTCTAACACACTTACAAGCAAGTATAACTTCAAAAAGCTGGCAGAAGGAATTGCCCCAGGAAAAAATACATTCAAATAGATGTACCACTTTCAGTTCAAGTTTATGGTCAGTATTTGTGGGGTGTTAACTGGTTTGTTTGACAAACAAGTATCAGCATCGAATCTGCATGTATTCGTTTCTAACAATGGCGGTGGCCCCTCCTCCCCTGGAAAGTTAGTGCACAAGCTGTAAATTTAAGAGACTTTTTAACGAAAGCGGTAGCAATGTTCCATTATCGGATTTCATCAGAAAGGAATACCCATGGCCAACCATGACCATGAAGACCCATGGCCAAGCCAGGAAGGAAAAGCGGTCCTAAATCTATATCATATAGACCCGCTAAGGAAATTGTGCGGACATCTACAGCAAAGCACTGGATATACTAGTGAATAGAGAGATAAAAAGTATGTAAAATGTCTAAACTGCAAGGAAAAGACTGAACGAAAATATGAACTATGCATTATTGATTTTACCCCGACTGCATGAAAGATTACCACATGAAAGAATGAGATGTTTATTCTTCTGTTCTGCAATTGTGATCGATTATGTTCACTTGTTATTGACTCATAATTTTTCATGACTTTCCTTATCGACTCATTTTTTCATGACTTTCCCAAAAATTTGTTATTATTATAACCATACATTCGAGAAAAGTTCCAATTCGTCAGCTTACTGCCGAGTGGCAACTTTAGTTGCCAGACCCAAATTTAGCATTCATTAAGTATTTTTTTTGAAATGAATGCTTTACTGGATATTTAGTGACCAAATGAGGAACTCAACAAATTAAATTTGTTGAGTATATAGTTCAAATATATAATTTGAACTCAACAAAGTACCTATATATATATTGTCCCATATAATTCTCGTTTCAATGGGTTATTACTTAAACGCAACCAAGGTGTGGCCTTCCAGTCTCGGGATCAAGTAAGAAGCAATAGGCTTCACTTTGGGGTTCATGATAACTATGTAGTGCTTCAACACAGAGTCTCGTACGGAACCGAGGTATCGAGTCGGAATACTAGTAACGCGGTCTCGTAGTATTCAATCAAAGGCGGCAGTATAGATGTGAGGGCAGAGGAGCGAAGCCTCAGTTTAGCAACAGCGGAGGCTAGCAGCATGCAAGCCGGCATCATCTAGGATGCAGGAAGGTTTTTAAGAGGAAGGCAGGGCAATTTTTCGGGTTCGAAAGCGTCTCTCGTTCCCACGAGAGCAATTACGTCTCGACCTGAATGGTATAAAAAAAGCCCGTAAAGCGCACGGGCAAAACAAGACACCGGAACATACACGGAAATTGATGTGTGTGCTTTCTTTGGCTCTAGTCATCCTTGATCAGCACTGCAGTCGAAAATACGCTTGCGTGATTCTGTACTTTCTTTTCCAATAATTGTTCAATGGCGTTTCTATTTCGCAGGGAAAATTACTATTGAATGGCAATGGAAGAATTTGCATAGAAAAAATTTCTGATGGAAATATTCCAGACTCTACTAGAAAGAAAAGACACTAATTTATTCGCTCAGTATATTTTTGATCTTTAGAGAGAGAAAATATTTGTGAGCAAAAGATGATCCTTTCCCACACAAAATTTTGTACGAAAGTGCAATTACTGTCTTCAAACGCAACGGTGTCAATGCACTATTATCATTAATTGATAATATTATTATCAATTGATAATATTATTATTAATTGATAATATTATTATCAATTGCTATTAATATTTAATTGATTATTATCAGTTAAAAGTGTCAATGCACTATTTGTCCATCAATTGATAATAATTATGGGAAATAGATTCGACTTTAGTTATGATTTTAATTATAATTTTTCGTTGTCACGGTCTGTGAATGTCTTGAGTATTTGAGGTTTTATCCATAATAGACTGCCTTTGGAAAATAAAGTTTCGAGTCATGTTGAAGAATCAATTGACATGGCAATCCTAGGCCTATTCAACAATCCTTACATCCAATTACACGCGGACTTCACAGATTGGACTAGGAGTTACGTAAGTAACGATGGGCGAGTCAGGTTCAAAAGAACTGCAAAACGGTGAGTCTTGGACCGTTTCGATTTCAAGGAAAGACAACTCGATAACTCAACAAGCTTTACCTTAGAAAAATTGTGTTGATGGCTCGTGAAATACCATGAAATAACCTACGAATACAATAAAGTTACCTACATTTGATATATTTACTATGTGACAATTTGTATCACAAAAAGTACCAGCGTTGAAAATGGTCAAGTCCCCCTGGTTTACGGAACAGCTTACTTTTAGATCATGCTTAAGAGCCTTTCCTTCACGTTCGTCAAATTGTGATAGAAAATAGTCAAAATCATAGTCAATAATGCCGTTTTTAAAGAAATTGCATCACTTAATTAATGGAAAACGGTATTCAAAACAAAATCCTTAACTTGATACAATTCGTCGCAACTGCTAAGCGATACTCGCACGCGCAAAAAATACATCGAACATGAGGTTTGAGTAAACA